CTAGATCGTATCGCACTGATTAATCTGCCCGTCTCCACCACCTGCAAGTCCGATACATTTCTTTAAACCACCTGCCCCACCCATCGGAAAAAACGATTTTTCACTAACAACAATGATTTGGTCTTTTAAAGGAAAAACCTAACCCTCCTGACGCATTGGTGCTCTACCACCGCTCTTGTGAGCCAGTCGCCCCTGAACCCCACAGAAACTAAAAATTATTTAAAAGATGTTTGATATCCCCCTTTTTTATGGGTACAGCGCAGCAAAGTGCCAAACTTTACTATAAAAAGAACATTTAATTCTTTCGCTTGATGGGGTAGGGGTTAAAAGTCGTGGGCCTTTGACTATTTAAACGCCTCAAAACATTTTTTACCACCCTCCCCCAATTACATGCCCCCGTCCATCAAACCCCCCTCATATACGTATACCACATATGTTAACACATCAACCACCGTCCACGTCTCTATACCCACCTCCCTCTCGCCCAATCTCCCAACTTCATAATCTTTGATTTTTTTTTTTAACTCGTTCCCGTTGCCCCTAATCTACAATCTTCCCACACAACTCAACTGCTCCCCCGTATACTAGGGAAATTGTATCACTAATAACCTACTATGGGAGGGCATCACTACCCGAACCCCACGACGAATCTACAAACCCCCCCCACAAAATGTCCATAAAAAGGGGCCCGCATGCAAGCAAAGAGCATTTGAACATAGGGACCCTGTCGAATGCCTCTATTCAATTTTACTAAGTTCCTAACTTCCCTTAATTTTACTCTAAAACCAAAACCTTATCAAAAACAGCCCACATGATGATCTCTTTCCAAAACCCCCGCCATCTCATAAACTTCCACAGACATCCCTTTCACACTATCAAAAGCAGCTTGGGGATCTAAAGCCAAAACACCACCCCCGCCCCTCGTTCCGCATTCCCGCAAACCCCTGATATTTCCCCTACCACATAAAATTTTTCCCACCTGGCACGCCAAAATGACCCCTTTTGTATTTCCTTTTCAAAAACTTTCTTAAACCATTCATTTTAAAATTTTTTCATATAAATTTTTTTAAACCACACATTTGGATATGGGCGGTAACCTTAAGTGTAACGGTATTTCCATTTTTTAAAATACACCAAAACCCCCGTACTCTGAGACAAACCTAAAGTCCCCCCTTTCCCTTTCGCATTGATAAAAAGTACCCGAAAAGTCCGTAGACCTCCCAATGTTAATATAAAATTCACACGGAATGCCATCAATACCTGGCGCCCTTTCCCTTTTCCCTTCCCTGCAAAACCTCCCACACCTCACTTCAGTTTTTAGGCCCCCCCATGAGAAACGACATTTTCATTCAACTCAAACGTACTTCTGCCCCAATTCCGATTTCACCACGCTTACATCTTTATTTAGCATTTGATATTAAACATTTTTTTAACTAATAGTTATTCCTTCAGTTGTTGTTAAACCTGACCCCACTATACCCTTTAACGCCCTCCCGCACCCCTAAAAATCACGATTTTGGTCGCCTTCCCCCCTTTTTTTTGACTATAAGACACAGCGGCGGCTTATCACCCCACACGCCTCCCCGCTCCACTCGAAATACGGCCCCCATCAAAAACCGTATTTTCAGCACCTGGATGTGTTCTTTAGATTGCAAACTCGTCCCCTGGGTAAAATTTCCCGATACCTCCCCTTGCGCAAACAGTGCTGAAAGAACCCTCCAGTACCTCAAAAATCCATACTCCAATCGAGAGGCCCCCCTACCCCGATGTACAAAAAAAATCCTTAATGCGAGGCTTCAAAATCTCCCATTGTCCACTAAACACTACCTTCCAAGGGTCACTCCCATAGACGTCCATAATGCGGAAAAGTGTCTTTTCTTTCCCCACTTTAAGTAAACGAGTATTTAACTTCCAAATCCTTTAAAACGGTCGGGGGACCCTCCAGTCAAGCTTACAGAAAACCGGATGGTCGGAAAATACCATCTAACACATGCCTTTTGGTTTCAACTACGCGCCAGCCATATCCCTGTCTAAGCGCGCAGCATAGTCCTTACCACGAAATGGCCCTCCTAAGTCACTCTTCCACTTAATCCACCCAAACCCCAGCCCAGACAACAAATCACCCAAAATAATCGAAAATAACCCCCCTCCCCCGGGTTTTACTCTTAAAAGGCGCACCACACAGTTCCAGCCCACCAACTACGTTATATAGGCAGAGATCTCAATAAACACAAAACATCGTTAACAAAAGTATTTTTAAAATTTTAAAATCATTTTCAGCTGGCCATATACTCCTACAAAACCCAACCCCTTAGTACCCCCCCCTCACCTAGACCGTACCCGCGACCCCCCCCCCCTTCCCCCAATGTTTCATCAGAACGGGCTGGGGGTTTTTTATTAACACAGCTACACCACCTTTCAAAGACTCGAGTGAGGGCCCTATAAACTCAAACCATCTATCGCAAACGAACTTCCAAATTTATGGGTTTTTTTCTTGCACGAAACAACATCTACGCAAAACGATGCAAACCCCTCATGAAACCGTCTTGCCTTTGTTTTTTCTTCTACCATTAACATTTTTGGTTATACACCTAAATTTCAACGGGGGCTTTCCTCAGGGGGCCACCACACCCTTTTTCCCCCTTTTCGTTGACAAAAGCCAAGGCGCCACCTTTTTCCTTTTTACATTCTCGTTATATTACCGCTGCCTGGAACCACGCGACGCCCCCCCCGTGACTTTGACCCGTCTTCTTCCCACGCTGTCCAGGGGTCAAAACATCGCGGGGCTGGGGGGGTAGCCCACGCTTCCTAGAAAAAGCCCTCAACTTTTCAGGACTTAATGTTCTCCTTTTGAATTCTACCGCAACAGTAAAGAACTCCGGACCTTCTACCTCACTTACGTTAAATAACTGATCGAGTCCTTTAACGTGTTCTCTCCTCATCTGAACACCCAATGCGGCACACACGGCACGAATCATACCCCCGCGAAGCTAAAAGGTCCTCATGTCGATACAAGTTTGCCCATTCAGCAACCTTTTGCTTGATCTACCGGTTGACCGACCAGTAGAGTCAGCAGGGTGCTTTCCCCGAGCAGGCCCCATCACCTCACACCCACGATTTCAGGCGCGGTAAGTCCCCGATTACTTCATCTGCCAAAATTTCCCACAGGGGGCCTCACCATCCCGGGCGATGACCACGTCCTGAGGGCGGCCCGGCGCCAACGCATTGTGCGCAACGTGGGGCCCAAAGCTCCGCAAAGGCGACAAGTTCCCTCTTGTCCAGGTACGTAACATCACCTGGGTACGGGCTCCCCTTTGGTTTATGTCAAGGTATTTGGTTGGGCCCCGGGACATTTTTAACGTGAAAGACCCTTCTTGTAAACCCCAAAGTGGGCCCTCAACCCCCGACCCCCATAACTTGGGGATCTCCCATAGTTTTGAAGGCGTCACGTAGTCAACTTTGTTAGCCCCAAAAGGCACGTTCGCACACTACCCCGTATGTATTGTGAAACCCTCGTGGGATTAACTGTGACTGCGGGGTACTTCTTGCTAACATCCTGATACTGGTTGCAATCTGCTCGTAGGTCTTGGTATCGCAAAACCGACGAATATCCTGATAGTCCATTTTAAGGGAACGCCACCAGGGATTCACGCTGGATGCCATTACATCCGGGTGATCATTTGGACCAACACATTAATCGAGCGCGGGGGTCTGCCCTTTAGAGGCAAACACACAGTTTAACTCTTCTTCGAAAACCCTCGCCATTGTTGTCGTCGCTCAAAAACCCCCCACCGGGGGTCGGGACTGAGGAAACAGCTGACGACCGCTCAGCCAGCGTCTGAGCAAGAATGAACCCCTTTTGTTTCGAAACCCCGTAACGGGTGGATCTAAAGGGCATCCTTTCTAGTAATCATGGAGATCTTAAACTTTTAGAAATCGCGTTTTTTTTAACCATACCCTTCTTAAAACAGTGTATGCATCTTTTTAGTCACTTTGCATCCAACTGTTTAATTTTAACCAACTCCAGAATTTAAAAAGTACTTTCTGACTTCCTGGATTCTTTACAGTTTAAAATTTATGTCCCCCGGTTCCTGGTTCTTTCCTTTAGCTACTTTGTCAGTCGGGTTTTTTTCGGTTTTTTTTTTTTTTCAGTCTTTAGTATTGTAAAGTTTTGTTTTTTTTAGTCTTTTAGGTCATTTCCCCTCAGCTCCTGGAAGGTTGTGGGCCCGCCTTGGCCACAAAACTCTTCCCCCAGCTTTATTTGGCTGCTGGCCTCTACACTTTTCTCATTTGTGGTTAGGGGGCCATCACTGTTCATGGGGCCCGCGGGATACACACTGGGGTCACACACCGCTTTTGGGAAAATTTTAAGCAAACGGATCGATTTATTAAGGAAAAACGGTTAAATTCCCTTTAATCAAAAGCCCCCTTTTTCTCCCTTTTCTCTGTCTGTTTTCTGTCTGTTTTCTGTTTGTCTTCTCTCTCCCCCTCTCTCTTCTCCTTCCTTTGACATAGTTACTGAACCCCAAAAAAATATTCCTTATCATTGATTATTTTTTTCATTCTTAATTATCCGTGGTTATTACTGTGTGGGAAAATCTCCTACAGTCGATTAACATGAATTCCATCCCAAATTCTTTTTCGTTTTTCCCCCTTGATTTGTCTCTTATCTCCAGTTAGCTCAGTAAAAAGGATTTACTCTCCTAAATTTCCCTTTCCCAAATCCTGATAATAAAAATCATTTATCGTCAAGTTTTCAAACCCGATCACGAGAAGTGGGGAAAAAACGGAAGATGAAGCACCGCTGTCTTTTTCTCCGGCAATCATTGGTTTTTTAAACCTTCAACGAGTCATCGGGTTTTTCATCCAATTAAAAAAAAAAAAAAAAATCGGGGGGGGGGGGGGGCGCACTCTTCTGTTTTCCCCGAAAAAAAACAAAAAATCCTTCCCCCTTCTTTGAAATCTTTCTCATCCCATAAAACTATTACTACCCTCTGCAGGATCTACGGTCGAGCCGGGATCACAAGCCCTGGTGCCCATCCCGGTCTTCACCTGTCAGCAGTACCGGGTGGAGGCGCTGGGGGAGCCACGCCCACAACTACGCCCATTGCCACGCCCGCTGCCTCGCCTTAAGAGGATCACTTCCTCAGCCTCAGCACGTAACGCTCCCGCCTCCCCGAGACCCAGGTCCCAGGCGCTGCCCCTGGATGGTTAGTTTACTTACCTGGTAGTTCACTAGTTATGCCTTTCACTAACTTCCTAGTAACTAACAAAACTTCCACCATTACTGGATGACTGCAGTTTTATTATTACCAGATTCTGTAAGTCTTTATATTATAAAATAGGATGGATATTGTTTCTAGTTTATTGCAACTAAAATTAATCAATCAAGAAGGTTAAAAAGTAACACTATTAACAACATAGTAATTATGCTTTGCTTTAAGAGGGAAAATGATTGAGTACAAACGTCACTATCCAGGCCTTACTTAGCCTAGGCGGAGCAGGCTTTGCCTATATTCTTTCCTAGTCACACTTGTCCTCGCTGATGAGAGCAAGGATTTCCCTGTGTACATAAATCTTAGCCCGCCTGCCAGCTGCGTCACATTACAGCTCTTCTCCGAATGCTTTGATAAGGCCATTAATCTCTCAGACCTACGCCATTCATTTTCCAATTTCTCCCCATCTCTCTCTCTCTCTCTCTCTCTCTCTCTCTCTCTCTCTCTCTCTCTCTCTCTCTCTCTCTCTCTCTCTCTCTCTCTCTCTCTCTCTCTCTCTTTACACAAGGATTTACAGTGTTAGGTTAAGAGTTCCTACTTTTTTAACAAGCTATCTCATCTTATTTTAAAGCCTTTTATTGTTATGAGTCATATAAATAGGGAATAGGATGAAACTGGAGCCCCCTGTAGGACAGCGATTTCATCTGGTGTGGTCAGTTAACTTTATTTCATCAATGGCATGTATGGCGAATAACTTTTACATCTCGGTCTCCGCGAGGTGGAGCCAGGTATGGTACCTTGACAACATTAGCCATGAACTTCGTACAGTCTTGCAGCCTCTACTGTCAAGCAGTTGCGAGATACGCCTAAGTGCTGTTAGCTTCCTGACCACCTTATTTTCAAGATTTATTACATGATTCTTCAAAGTCAATTTGGAATCAAATTTCACCCCAAAGATATTACCCTCAACCCCGAGTTCCAACACTCTCCCATTCATTCTTACCACTCTTCCAGCATTATCATCAGAGGCCAATGTCATCTGCCATGATGGTTGATGTAACTGAGAGCAAATGACATTTCCTCTCTTGGATTAGTAAATATCAAAGTACAGTCGTCTTCATGTGTATGGGATTCCGGAATGAGTTGAAGGCCATTGAAGAGAACATTCCATAACAAAGGCCCAAACACACTTCTCTGGGAAAAGGCCAATTACACATTGCTAGGCAGTGCTGATGGATGTGAGAAGTGGTGCTAGCTGGTGTACGTGTCTACTGAGCAGTCTTGGGCTCACCTTGTCTGGGCCCCTCAGTCTTTTCTTGGTTCAGGGATTTGAGAAGATACACCTCGTCTTGCCTTATTGTCACATCTGACAACTTTGACACAGGAGGAGGTTCTCTTGCTGGGTCTGGAACTTGAATCAATCTTGACAGCAAAGTGCTCGGCAAAGAGATCAGCTCTCTCTCTCTCTCTCTCTCTCTCTCTCTCTCACTATCCTGCAGTACGGTAGGATAGTCGTCACATAGTTTTATAATCCAGTAATCCTCTATATCATTGTACAAGTCGTAAGACTTGATGAATCTAATTATCTAAAGCTCAAGTAGTTTTAAGATCAAGCTAAGTTATCTCCTTCTGAAGACGCGTTCTGCCCCCAGGTGTTGGTCCAGCGAGCTCCGTCTCCACTGTTGTGTTTGGTCGGCGTCACTCATGGTGTTGTTCCAGGGACGTAGACGATACCAAGCAATATCGTTCTCAGAGCACCCAAACATTCAGGGACCAAGAGGTCCCGCCCCTTCCCGATGCCTGCCTCAGCAATCCAGAAACCGAGATCCTGAAGGTCCGCGGTGAACTGGCCATTCCTGACTTCTACTGCAGTCATTCAAGCGCTCAGATCCGGAAGGAGCATGAAGTGAGTATTCCTGATGGGTACTGCAGCCATCACGAGACCCAAGTTCTGAAAGACAATGGTACCCTCGCCATTCCTGTCTCTTGCTGCGGCCGTCACGACACCGGCACCCTAAAGGATCACAGTGGACTGACGATTCATGACTCTTGCTACAGTCAATCCAGCACTCAGATCCTGAAGGAGAATGGTGGAATGAGCGTTCTTGATACCTGCTGCAACCACCCTAGCTATCACGCCTGCAGTCAACACCACCCCCAACACAATGACACCCCGCAGCAATACGAGGAACACGACCAAACACATTGCCACCTCGACGAGGATGACTCAGTGTTCATCATAGCCAATGACTGAACCCCATGAAGAGTCTTCTTTAAGTGTCGTTGTGGAGAGTGCTCCATGAGAAGTGTTTCCAGTGGGTGCAAGTACAAAATTGTTTGGTGTGTTTAGCCTGTTGAGCAGGACAACACCTCGTTCAAACGGTGTCAAGCAGATCATGTTATGTTTTAGCTGAGTTCCTGTCTCCATGAAAAATGATGAGTCGGCACCCTCAGAGTCGGTACCTGGAGAATAGAATCCGGAGGAGCCACTACCAAAGGAGCCGGTACCGAAGGAGTAGGTACTGAAGGAGTCGGTACTGAAGGAATCGGTACTGAAGGAATCAATACTGAAGGAGTCAATGAGGAAGGAGTCGCACTGAAGATCACATTCTTAGATGTGAAACAAATAGGCTAAGAAATCTCTGTCTACGAGAAAAGTATATGCAAATCTCTGTCGACGACAAACATGTAGACGTCTTTGTCGACTACAAAGCAGTATTTAATAAAGTGATTGAGTGAATGTATTTCTTGTATACTGAATGTCTTTCTACTATCTCATTTACCCTGTATTTCTTCTGGTGCGACAAGCGGGTCAGACCACAGAGGTTGTACCGCTCAGTTTATAATAGTGTCGTTGACTGGTGTTACACAGGCGCTGTGCAGCCTTCAGGACCCTCGTGTGGTTCTATAGATTTTTAAACTTAATAAAGTAGCCAAGGTAAGGTCAGTAGCGTCTCGAGGTCAAGTCAGCTACTAGCAGTTTCACTTTTTCAGCTGTCAAAACCTTGTTGTTTCTTGGTTAAACTTGTTAAACTCTTTTTAACATTTCATGAGTTTTGATGGCTCTGTATATATTATGTTTTCCATTACTAAAGTATACACATGTTTACGCAATTATGAAAAAGGTATACAACGAAAATCAAATAGCAACGGACCTTTTGCCACAAGTATTGCTGTTAACGAAAGACTTAAAGGTGGAGGAAATAGTCACGAATTTGTAGAAAAATATTTATATACCCAACTTCTAAACATATGCGCGATATTACTCTCAATTACTTCTTCTTGTAATATAGTCCATATATTAACCACCCGGTTAAAAATCAAAATATATATATCTTCGTTGTACTGATGTCGTTCGTCTATTAATATCGAAACGATCATTTCGTTCTTTGTTTGATCGGGTAATACTAAAGCATTTTTTTTCTTTTTGAAGAAGATTGCCATACTTATCATTCATTTACTTTACCTCTGAATCTTCGCCTCGAAAAGCTGAATACAACTTTCTAAAGGCGTTTCACAAGATTTACGTCTTCGTCTGAGTGTTGCCTCGCTAGATCCAGAGGCGTGTGTGTTGCTGAAGAATACTCCGACTGGTGACGCAAGTTGCACCACAAGCTCTTATTTTGACGTTTTTGGTCTGGTGCTTCATCAAATCAAGGCTCGATTGTGCTCTACAGAGAGCGAAACGTTGTGTCAGTAAGAGATTGCTCTGCAGTGGCTCGACACTGGACACCCTCCTGTCACCGTCCAACCTTAAATACAACGACCAGACACTGCAAGCAAGCGGTGTTCTAGGATCCATCACTCTTAAAATCACTGCAATTTTTCCCGTTCGCGGTTCGTGTGTTTTCACTGCATCAGTCTGCTGCCTGCTTAGTCACACTTATTATTACTCTTGCATCTCCTTCATTTGCTTTCAGTTAAGTTCAGTGACGTCCATAACTTAAGTTATAGTTTTGTTTGTTTTTCATGTGCATTACTTCGCGCTTAACAATATTTTAATTCATGTGCAGTTTACTACCCCTGTTTACTAAATGGTTTATAATGACTGATTTAATCCAGCTAAACTTAACAAGGTTTAAACAAACCTGGTCTTGCAGGTTCCATGAGGTTAAATGTATGGCAAGTTCCCTTTAGCTTACTTTATGGCAAATTCCTTGAAGTCACTTTGTGTCAAGTTGCCTGATGTTAATTTATAGCAAAGTCATGATAAGTTCTCTTAGGTTACGTTATAGATTAACTTAAGGAATCATGTCTGAATATCAAGTAGCAATATCCGTGAAGCAACTTATATACAACGACCATAACACCATCTACAGACTGTATACACTGGGCAGCACCAGACAGACTTACATATGGCAACACTGGGTAGCAATTAATGACAGCTGTGCCAATTGCTTTTGGCAACAACTGAGTGGAAATCCAAAAAAATAAATTCTGTTATCGCCTGTCAACACTGTATTGATTGTCGGAATTTGTGTGTTTGTATCTATCTGTTTGTTTGTATTGTCTCATTCTCTCATACTTCAATATATATATATATATATATATATATATATAATATATAATATATATATATATATATATATATATATATATATATATATATATATATATATATATATATATACATTCATTCCAAGTGTTTAAAATAATCACTGGCATTTTAAATATAGAATATACATTAGCTTACCCATTTCTTAATTAGAATATGTTGAACAATTATTTGTGCCAAACAAAGACTATAAATACACTTGTCTATTATTTATCCTGTTAAGTGTAAAAATAAACATTAAAGCAAATATTTAAATATAAAACTTTACTTTGTGGCTTTTCTTCTTAAAGCAAGAAGACACAGGAACTTAATATTTATGAGTTAGCAGAGAGATAATGTAGTATATTATTATTATTATTATTATTATTATTATTATTATTATTATTATTATTATTATTATTATTATTATTATTATTATTGGCAGAGAGATAATGTAATATCTGTGAGTTGGCAGAGAAATAACGTAATATCTGATAGATAGCATTAGAGCACAATAATGACTAAATGACCACGCCTCAATCTCGTTCTCTGGTCCTGGGATCTCTAAACACTGCCCAGATTGTACAGTAACCTCCTGAAACTTTACACAGAAAGCGAAATGTTGGCAATAATAAACATTTGCTCTGAACCAAGTTTTTTTTTCAGTCAAGAGTCCTCCACTTAACTCGAGAAAGTCTTCCCACTGACCAACAGCGCCATTATTGCCAGTGTTCGTCCTCAAGTTGTGGACAAAGTTTCTTTACTTTCTCTGCCAAGTACAGCTGGCGATGTTTTAGATAAGAAAGCTGTCCTCGTATTTATAATCTCTGTTGACCACGATATTGTTTTCACTGCGCAATGGTACAAAGTTGTTCTTGCTGTCTAAGTGAAGGATGCCTGGCAAGTGATATCTTGTCCCCATCTGCATTTGAAGGATGACTCACAAGCTGACATCTTGTCCCCATCTGCACTTGAAGGATTTCTGGCAAGCTGACATCTTGTCCCAATCTGCACTTTAAGGATTTCAGCCAAACTGACATCTTGTCCCCATCTCCTCTTGAAGGATGACTCACAAGCTGACATCTTGTCCACATCTGCTCTTGAAGGATAACTCACAGACTGACATTATGTCGTATCTTCTAGTAAACGATAGCATGCAAGATAAAATCGTATCCATTCTGCAGGATGTGGAATCTTTCGACAATCTCAGCTGAATTTGCATTGCCTCCCTAGCACTATCTTTAGTACACTGTGCATACTTTGCACGGTGCCACCTACACGTGGTCACTGTTCCTGTCTTAACAACGATAGGTAAATATATTTATTAATTGCCACTCCGCAGTTGTCTATTGATGCAAACTCCACGGCAGTATTGAAATTGCTGGCGATTTGGGTCACCTGGTGAAGCGTCTCGTTTGCAGCGTAGAAACTCTTAATTAATGACTCCTCTAGTAAGTGTCCTCTACTGCCTTGCCTTAGTGACGCGAAGATTCATTCCTTTTATTCCTGTCAATGCCCCCCCCCCTTTTTTTTACGGGAGCGTAAAATATTGTTATTGCAGGGATGGGAAGATAAGTTGCACGGCCATGACATGTTCCACCTCCTCCGACAGTAAGGTGTACTTCTGGCTGTTTCATAACATCGTCCTGGATCTCCAGTGGTGGAGTCTGCAAATGTCACTCTCCCAGGACACAAACATTTCCAGGTGCTTCCATCGGTCTAGTCCACTTCTTCGGCAACTGACTTTCAACGCATTCGTAAAATGTGTCCAGACATCCCCCAAGTCTCTGAAGTTCCCATTTTTGTTGTTGTTGATGAAGTCAACTTCCCAACCCTCCTCTCTCATGTTGTAGGAGATTTTTTGATCCAAGGTATTGGAGCTCTCCCCCCCCCCTCCTTTTCGAATCAAACTTGATTGCCTGCCATTCGTCAGTTGGTGCATTTTCCCAACAAGTTTAGCGCTTTCCCATGAATATAGCAGTAGCGGTAACACTCTGCCTTCGGGTCTGACGACTGCCACCAGTCGTTTAAATTTCAACGGCATCCTATTTCTTTGACATCTGTTAATTAGTAACACTATTTTTTGCAACCCTGGTAACACTACTGATTGCATCCCTAGTAACACTACTGATTACAACACTGGTAACACTACTGATTGCAACCCTGATAACACTACTGATTGCATCTCTGGTAACACTACTGATTACAACCCTAGGAACTTTAGAAGAAGAATAATGAATAATATGCTCAATAATAATCCACAAGGAGACAGAAACACAGGAGGTTGATTAATCTGTATATTTCGATCCCCTTCTGGGATCCTCTTCAGCTGAAGAGGGTCTCAGAAGAGGTCGAAATATACAGATCAGTCAGTCTCCTGTGTTTCTGCACCCACGTGGGTTATTACTGAGCATTGATAAGTGTTCATTACATTTTAGTTATTCATTGAATAACATGATGAACATATATTCAGAAAAAATAATCACATATTAGAATCAAGGAAAAAAACACGACAAAGAGAATTCAGAAAGAGAAAAAGTTCAGAATATACTGGGAAGAGATCTATTATTTCTCTGGTGAAGAGGAGAAAGCTTTTTTGGGGGGTAGCTGAAGGTCTCTTAATCTGAGGAACTGAAGCTGGTTGTTCTCTTTCTTTCCATGGATCAAACCTGAGTGTACCCCATTCACGACACATGAACAATGATGAACGCGATTTTTAAGATGACTTTTTTTTAAAAGGTGATGTTTGCCAATCTGTTACTTTCACGTCTGCTACCGATCTCCTGGTATCGAGGCAGGTCTTGCCCTGCCCTTTGCAGGGGTGGACCTTAAAAGACGCCCTTTTTCTAGCCATCAGTACCATATTCCTCTCCATCTATTCATGACAGCACTCGAGAAATAGCAAACAGCAAACCTCGCGTATGATGCACTGCAGAATTTGGGAACCTGCGGTTGTCACTTTTTGGCAAATAAATCAATACCTAAATTGAACTGCAGTAGACCTTTGTGGCCAGACCTCCGGCGATACAGCTGTCAAATGCGGCAAACTTTAATAATCTTAAAAGGATAATCCCACCAGGACGAATAATTCAACATAGAGAAGAAAGGAGCTCAACAACTTGCTGTAGTGTAGAAAAAGCTTTTATTGGAATAAGGTTTCGATCTGAAATGTAGTCTCAGGAAATACTGTTCTACAAAGTGACTTTTATTTATGTAGTAAAAAAAAATCTGTATATTTCGAACTTTAAAAACTATCTTCTGCTGTAACCTATGAAACCACAGACTGTCTCCACTCAGGAAATTCAAGGAAGAATCATTAATATCAAGAAAGTCTCTGGAATCCAAGAAATGAACAAAAATTCCTGAAAAATATGCCAGTGATAGTTAAGCAATAGTTCACATTCATGCCTGATACAGCAGTGACCTCAGGGCTTTCTCAACAAACTTCAGAATTCATTATATCAATCTCGTCCTCTTACCAGAAACTGAAGTAACACCTGTACAAGAACCAGAAGCAACTCAGTCATTATATACTGAGAATAGCAGCAACACGCTAGATTATTGATACATATCTCAGTAATAAATACCACACAACGTGGTCCTAGAAAATTATGAAGAGGATGGACTCTGAAAAACAAGAGGGTTATAAAGAACCATCGCCTTATTATATCAGCTGAGAGTAAACGACACTTAAAGGAACACTGTAACGTTGCTAAGGGAACAGTCTCCAAAGTTTCTGATGAAGACTGCTCATGGCTCAGTGGTTGCGCTTCGGCTCATAACCGAAGGACCCAGATTAAATACGAACTGGTGACGACTTGAGCTTCATTCGTGACACCTTCAGCCACTCTTCACCTAGCAATACAGGTACAGGTAGGTTAACCAGGACAGGTCCTGGCCCGGGTCTTCTCCATGTGGTGATTCGGCAGTCTAGTAATACAGAGGTATCTGAGTGTTAGCCATCTGCTGTGTGTGTCACTCTGAGAGGTGGTAGCCTACCTTAGATGGGGCTGGTCTTTGAGGAAGGGAGGTAAGATAACGGCTCTTGGCCTGCAATTCAACGTTTGACTTCTATTATTATGCATGTGTGATTAGTTCACCCCATTATATTATGGAGTAGTGAGGCCATAGATCTGGAAAGTGTCGAATGTTGGATAAAGAGTCTCTGCCTGGCTGCCACGCATTTGTTGCTCAAATGACCTATCTCTGGCTTCCTTTCCTTCCTCTCTCTCTCTCTCTCTCTCTCTCTCTCTCTCTCTCTCTCTCTCTCTTTCTCTCTCTTTTTTTTTTTTTTTTTTTTTTTTTGCACAGGGTTTGACAAGGTTAAGGATCCCTAGCTTTATTGACAAGCTATTTACAGGTTAAGGATTCCTAACTTTATTGGCAAGCTAAGAGCTGTTACCTACATCAGCTCATTTGAAAGCATTTTTATTGTTATGAGACATACAAGTAGGGAACAGGATGAAGTTGGAGCCATCTTTGGGCCAGCATTTTCATTTGATCAACTGACTTTATCTCGTTGACATCATTATGCTGTACGAATGTGTTCCATACTCGAGTCATCCTGGGTATATATGATCTCGGATGGAGTGATGTTCTGGAGAAGGGTGCAGCCAGAGTGAAGTTGCTGCTTTCTGCAGGTGGTACTGTGGTACTTTGACAATATTGGCCTTGTACATAACAGTAAGGTCACCCACATCCCTCCTGTGTTGAAGGCTCTGCTGAAATGACAGATCTATCAAGGATGGGTCTAGGCGAGAGATGAGACTCTCTCTCTCTCTCTCTCTCTCTCTCTCTCTCTCTCTCTCTCTCTCTCTCTCTCTCTCTCTCTCTCTCTCTCTCTCTCTCTCTCTCTCTCTCTCTCTCTCACTTCCTCTCTCTCCCTGTCCCTCCTGATCTCTTCCCCTCTGTAAACCAGATACCACTACTGTGAACTACCAGGTACCACCACTGTGAACTACTAGGTACCACTACTGTGAACT